TCAAGAGAGGATTTAATGTCAAGTGCAGGTGCAACTGGAGATAACAGAGGAGCAGGTCAAATGAAATAAAATAAAGGGGAGCACAGCCAAATGGAATCATTGAGAGAGTCGCAATCTGATTTATTCATTGCGTCCTTGGAGAGGGATGGGGTAAAGACTGCAGCGCACAGTGAGAAGTGATGGAGCCACTCAACCACAACCACTTTTTTGTCTGTGGTAATCAAAGCCCTTTTTGACACTTCGTCCTCCGTGGTTGAGTTTGTTGTTGTTCTTTTTTTTCATTTTTCAAATAGACGGGCACTGGTCGATGTCTTGCTATCCAGCAGGAATATGATGCAAAAGATCAAGTTAGAAAGTTATATGTTCTATCATGGGCGGCACGGTGGCTGAGTAGAATGCACTCTCGCCTCTCAGCAAGAAGGTCCTGAGATCGAATCCTAGTCGTAACAGGGCCTTTCTGTTTGCATGTTCTCTCCGTGCCTGCGTAGGTTTCCTCTGGGTTCTCTGGTGTCCCCTACCACTAAAAACATGCTCACTAGGTTAAATCCTCCGGCTCTGGTAGTCCTGACCAAGCCGAGCATCAACATCTGGAGATGGGTTCCCAGGCGCTGTTACTACGGCGACCACTGCTCCTGACGTAAGCCTTAGCGGCATCAGAATGGGTCAAATGCAGAGGATGAATGGCCCTACGGGATCAATAAAGTGCACCTTACCTTTTATGTTAAAGTATCTAACTTTTGAACACATAATAATAAACTGTGTATTAAAAGTCCATGTAACTAGTTATTTTCTCTAAAAACTGTTTGAGAAACTGGTTTATTTTTGTCACATTTGTAGATCAGAAGCCGCCCTCACTCAGGCAAACAACTGGTTAAGTGTCTAATTATAATAATAAGAAACATGATTGTGAACGGACAAGACTCTTTCTGTTGGGAAAACGGCAGTATTTATGAAACAAAATGAAAGTTAGGTTCTCCAGCTTTAAGGCTTTGGTGTGTCTGGGTCAAGGAAGCTATGTTGGCATTTATACTTTTGTCGAAGAGATTATCATACTGGCACAGACAGGTTGCCTCTCTTCTGTCCGTCTTCCCCAGGGCAGCTGTGGCTACAGTAGTAGTTTATCACCACTGTGTATGGAGTGAATGAATAATGACATGTGAAGCGTCTATAAGTGTCCAAAAATATGTCAAAGTGATGCATTAATATGATAATTATTACTCAAATTGTAAAGATTCCGCCTTCAAATGCAAATGCGAGTTCGACCCGCCCTCACATGTTTTAGATTGGAGACAATGAATAACAAATATCTTATTTAAATGCCACTACAGGGTCGTATGATCAAATAGATTAGTAAGAAGATAAGAAGTTACAGACATCAGCTGTAAGTCTGGATGGCCGAATGACAATAAATGAATGGACATGTTGGCTTCAAATTGAAAGTTTCTACCGTTGTACTCTGCAATGCACCAGTCCCACTCTACACTCCTCTTCACACCATGGAGCAGAGGAAAAACAAATAGCCAATAGTGCCACATGCATTGTCAAAAACGAGATTGTTTTTTTGATCTGTTTCGCTTTGTTTTTTCTATTGTCAAACCTAGTGCGGACGGCTTATAAATCCAAAATCACGGCGGCTGCATCTAAAAAATTGAAAGGGAAGAAAACATTGGTCTTCTGCCATGTTTGCTGGATTTGTTATTTGAGCTGTGGTGGCGCTGGAGACCCTGGAAAGAATTCATTTTTTGCCACACAAAGCCGACCTCGCAAACCAAAATAATGACGGGAATGCCTGGCTTGGCTCCTATTGGGAATTTGATTTGCTGAATATTTACACTCTTCCTGCAAATTGAGCTAATCATGTTCCCGAAGCCATGATACAAAATACTGTGTGGTTCTGCTCGGGGCCATGTGCTCGGTAAGCATATTGGGGTTATAATGTTTTATCGACCCAGTCACAATTCACACAGCATCATACGGAGAGAGAAAGAGAGAGATCAGAAAGAGGATGAAGTTGTCAATGCGGTCTTCAATCACACGCAGCACAGAGAGAGAGAGAGAGAGCGAGATTCTGTTGTATTGATCCAAAAAACCGCGCGCTTCCACAAGAGAACAGCTCAATATGGACGCCACACAAACCCAGTCCTGTGTGCGTCCGTCCACAAGGGCGGCTTACTGATACCCTGTGTTTACACTGACGTGATGTGACACTATAATGGATCCAGACATCATCAACAAAGGCTCTAGTGGTCATTTTTCAGCTTGGGTTAAAGCTGTTTTTCACTTATTTCCATTTGGGTGTCGCGTGGTGAAGCGAACGAAGGACCTTAAATGCAAGAAAGCAACAAAAAAAGATGATTTAATGATGCATAACGTCCAAGGAAAAACCAAACTCAAAAAATCCAACACAGGAACCAGGAATACAGACACGGACAAAGACAATGGACCAGCAACTTCTTCTTTTAGTTATTGACGGGTGGCAGCCAGCAGCTAAGCAGCATGCCGCCACCTACTGTGTCTTATTGTCCCAGGATAATAGTACTTCAGCTGACAATATAGTGTGCGAAAAAATAAAATAGATTAAAATATTCCTTTAACAAATACCAGCTGTCCCTTCCCCCCAGAATAATTGACCAGCCACACATGGGTGGCACGAAGGTCCTGGATTCGAATCCTGGTCGGAACAGGGACTTTCTGAGTGGAGTTTGCATGTTCTCCCCGTGTCTTCGCAGGTTTATAGGTCTAGCATGCGCCTCCTGTATTGGCGTCCTCACTCCCATCTCTGTGTGGAGTCAGAGACAAATGCCCACAAATGTAAACCACTTTGTCCGGAGTCACAAAGCGGTGGTATATAAATAAAGATTACTTACTTAATTACACGTGAGGATGAGCACAGGTACATATACACAGAGACACAGGTGAAACCCATTAGGGCGGGGCAGACATGACAGGAAGTAAAAATGAAACCACACAACTATTTTCAAAATAAAACCATGTTACAAATACTTCACACCATGACACTTTTTTTAAAATTTCTGAGTTGTTTTTTTGAAGATGCAGGAGGGTCAGGGACAGCGGTGATGATCCAGGACTCAACAACGTTTATGGATATGGATGTGTTTTCTGCTGCTGGAAGCCTGAATTTCATACAATGAGTCTTGTATTAGTAAAGTATTTTTTGATAACAATGCAATGCACATTACACATTATTCTAACAAAAAATATGCCAGATTTGAGCAAAAATGCTAGTTTCCACCTGTAGTCCCTGGGCAGGTTCATGATATAATTACAGTAAGACAACTGATTGAAAAAACGAAATAGTTTCTCACTCAGTGCTGTTGGACATAAACACAAAAAACATACATTTTTCTTCAGGGAGAATGACGTTGACCTTGAGCTTGGACCTTTCAATGTGCAGCTAATATATCAATCCTTTATTTGTTTTAATGTTTATTATTGGCTGACAGTTTGTAAAATCCCAAATACAGCATTTCAGAAAATTTTTATATTTTGACAATAGACTTTGAGCCATAATTATCAAAAAATTATCAATCAATCAATCAATCAACGTTTATTTGTAGAGCGCCTTTCCTACACAAGGCAACGCAAAGCGCTTCACATCCCCTATCACATCATGCATAAATCAAACACATTAAGAGCACAAGATATATTAAAAACATTAAAAATAAAATCACAAAAATTAAAAACCTTTAAACATTAAAATCACAGATGGGACTAAAATCATAAATAGTCACAGTGCATTAAAAAGATTAAAGATAAAAACAAAGATGAAAAGATAAAATCATTCAGTTGTATATGCGCAGCTAAACAGAATTGTTTTGAGCCTAGATTTAAAAGATGCCAGAGTAGACGCCTGTCTCACATTCTCAGGAAGACGGTTCCAGACTCTAGCCGCATGAATCTGAAATGCAGTTTGCCCATGTCTAGTACCGACTCTGGGCACTAACAGGAGTCCAGTCCCTGTGCTCCTCAGAGTCCGGGTCGGTTCATATGGCACAAACATGTCATGGATGTACCTTGGCGCGAGACCATGGAGAGACTTGTACACAAGTAAAGCTGCTTTGAAGTCTATTCTCTGAGGAACAGGAAGCCAGTGCAGAGACCTGAGAACTGGACTAATGTGGTCGCACTTCCTAGTTCTGGTCAGGACTCGAGCTGCTGCATGTTGAATGTACTGCAGCTGTTTTACAGCCTGTTTGGACAGACCTGTGAGCAGGCCATTGCAATAGTCTAACCGACTGGAGACAAAAGCGTGTATAAGAGTCTCCAAGTCTGCCTTAGACACTATGTTTTTAATTTTAGCAATGTTTTTTAGGTGGTAATAAGCTGCTGATGTTACAGATTTTATGTGGCTTTTGAAATTTAAGTCTGAGTCCATTATCACTCCTAGATTTCTGACCTGATTTGAGGGTTGTAGAGAGAGAGCCTGGAGGTGACAAATAACGCTCTCTCTTTGTTTCTGGGGTCCGAAAACAATTATTTCAGTTTTGTCGGTGTTTAGTTGGAGAAAGTTATTTTGCATCCAATCACCGATTTGCTGGACACAGTGAAGGAGCGAGTCCACTGGTTCATGCTCTCCTGCTGTCAGGGACACATAGACCTGAGTATGGTCAGCGTAATTGTGATAAGAGACATTATTACTGTGAATCAACTGACCTAGAGGCAACATGTAAATATTAAACAGAAGAGGACCCAGGATTGACCCCTGTGGCACTCCGCAGGTCAGGGCCAAGTGGTCTGAGGTACAGTTTTCGATCTCCACAAAAAACTTTCTGTCTTGTAAATAGGACCTAAACCAGCTTAGGGCGGTGCCAGCAACACCAACCCAGTCCTCAAGTCTCTGAATGAGGATGCCATGATCAATAGTGTCAAAAGCAGCACTTAAATCTAACAGAAAAAGGACTGAGACTTTTCTTGCGTCAGTGTTTAGTTTGATGTCATTTGTTACCTTTATTAGCGCGGTCTCAGTGCTGTGGTGGGGTCTAAACCCTGACTGGAACATATCATAAGCGTTATTGATTATTAAAAATTCTGTAAGTTGTTTATAGGCAACTTTTTCTAGAATTTTTCCCATGAAAGGCAGATTTGAAATGGGCCGATAATTTTTGAGTGCCAGGGCTTCCAGACTCCTCTTTTTTAGGAGGGGCCTGATGACCGCCGTTTTCAAGGCCATTGGGAATGTTCCAGATTCAAGAGACATATTAACTATTTGTGTAAGTGAAGGTAAAAGACTGCTCAGAACTGACTTGAGAAATCTAGGAGGTAATACATCCAGGCTGCATGTGGAGGAACTCAGACTAGTGATTATCTCCTGGACAGTTTCAATTTGTACTGGTGTAAAGTGCGTCAGCCCAAAAAGCCTCACTGGCGGTTGGATTATTATTTCTATCGTGGAGGTGATGGCGTTTTTGATACCTTGGACTTTGTCATTAAAGAACTGAGCAAACTCATTACATTTAGATTTGGAAGTAAGTTCTGATGGCATCTTAACAGGGGGATTCGTCAATCTATTTACTGTTGAAAACAGAACACGTAGATTGTTGCTACAGCCTTCAATAGTTTCAGAAAAGTACATTTCCCTCGTTCTACGTAGTTCCCTGTTAAAATTGCACAACGCATCTTTGAAGATCTCATGGTCAACTTTGAGATTTGACTTTCGCCACTTCCGCTCGGCCTTCCGGCACTCTCTCTTCTGTGCCCTGACCGAGTCTGCTTTAGTCCATGGCGCTTTTTGCTTGTTTGTAACTATTTTAACCTTTACAGGAGCAATTGTATCCAGAACATTCAAAACAGTGGTGGTGACAGAATCAAGTAATTCATCTACAGTAACACACAACGTGTTCTCAAAGTTTACCCTCCCCATGAACAGTTCGCCTGTATTATCATTTATGTGTCTTCTTCTTCTAACAACCGAAGATTCAGCTGGTGGTTTACAATCAAGACACATGTCAAAAAATACACAGAAATGATCAGACAGAGCAACATTGACCACATTTACATTTGAAATATTAACCCCCTTGGTAATTAACAGATCGAGAGTGTGTCCTCTGCTGTGGGTGGGGCCACTCACATGCTGAGTGAGACCAAAGGTTTCCAGCACAGAGCTCAGCTCTATTGCATATCTATCATTAGCATTATCTACATGTATATTGAAATCACCTACAATGACCAAACCATCAAAATCTGTGCACACAACTGAAAGCAACTCGGTGAAATGATCAGTGAAACTATGGCATGACTGTGGCGGCTTGTACACAACAATAATAAGAATGGAAGAAGATTTCTTTTGTCTATTTTAAAAGAAACATACTCAAATGATGAAAATTTCCCAAGAGACACTCTATGGGAGACAATACGATCTTTAAAAACTGCTGCTATGCCCCCCCCCCCTTTTATTTTCTCGTGTTTCATATTCAAATTTGAAATTTGGTGGTGAGGCTTCTATTAAAACTGCATCTCCTGTATTATGGTCAAGCCATGTTTCAGTCATAAACATAAAATCAAGATCATACGAACAGATAAAATTATTAATTAAAAATGATTTGTTGCATAGTGATCTGACATTAAGTAGAGCAAGGTTAAAATTAATATCAGTGTCAATGGGTTTAGTTGATTGATTACAAAGAACTGGAATTAGATTTCCAGAGTTGGACCGTCTAACTGCTGTCCTTCTTTTAAATTTGTGTTTATTCAAGTTAAAACACATTTCTGAGCTGGTGCGAGAAACACACACAGTCTCTATTGGTTTAAAAAGTGAACTCTGTTGTACTTTGTTAAGTTCCAGATGCATAACTGAGTCAGCACAGTTCAGTGGCAGGACTGTCGTTACACTGCCAGACGGACAGGGGTCAGTGTTTGCACCACAGTACTCACCCGGTGCTGGTAAGGAGGAGGAGGAGGGGGGGGGGGGGGGTGGTGGGGGCCGAGAAGCCTCAGATGTAAACAGTTATAACAAAACAAAGGCGTGGTTTATGTCACTTTGCATCTACTGAGTCCGTATTATATATAGGCGTCACATCTCATATTAAATTACATAAATAAATAACGACATTTGAATGGTATTTTAATTTCTACATTATATTTCTATAATATTTGTAATGCTAACATGTCTTTTAAGGGATGTTTGTAGAATAGCATAAAACATGACTCAAATAAACATCATCAAAATTAACAGGTTGCGATTGGTGTTTCAACAAAGATGGTGCCTCGTACGGTCGACATGGCTCTTTGCTGCTCTCTTTTTCTTTTGTTTTTACTTTTGACTGTTGCACTGAGCCAAAGCAATTTCCAAGTCTGTGACCTCCTGTTACTTACGTGGCAATAAAAATGATTCTGAGTTATGGTTAAAAACAGGTCATTTAGATTTTTATGGTTTTGATTATTGTCACCATGATCATGTGATATGTGCCGACAAAGAAGATATGGAACATTATTACAGTTTTTGTTTCATGTGGCTTGTTTCAGGAATTACAGGGAAACTAGCTCTAAACTAAAACTGGATTTCGACAGTTACCATAGTTACCAGGAAAGATTTTTCAGCTGCCTACCACATTTTAAATTATATATTATAGTTTTTTTGTGATGTCACGTGAACAAGAATGTTTGCTTTGCATGCTACTTCCATTTAAAATAGTCTACATCAGTGGGAGTTGCATTTCTGTTTCGTGCCTATTTTAGGGGTCCCGGCCTGCAGAGTTTGGGGGCCCTTAATCCAAATAACTCCTCTCACCATGTTGTCATCTTAATAGCAGCAGATCCCAGGAACAGCTCACTGTTTATTTACTAGATTGAGTATAATTGAAATAACACAGCCACAAGACTCTTTCTGTACATTTTATTTACAAAATATAGTAAAATTTGTCTGTACAGTGCCTCTCTAATAAGGCTCAGCAATAATGCATGCATCTGGCTCTTTTCAGTCAAGACGTCTCACCTGGTGAGTCTGTTTCACAGAGGTGAGACTTACAAAAGAGGTGATTTACAAAAGAAATGCCTGGCCTGATTCTAGCTTTAACCTACGGTCAGCTGGGAGTGAAAAGCCTGTCAAGCATCACTGTTTCACATGCAGTTGTCCAATAAAAGAAAGAGAATAGATCATTTTCATATAATTGTAAATGTACACAGTTTAAGCTCTTTTGCTTCACATTTTCATTGAATAGAAAACTATTTGTTCATAGGTTATTATAATAATCTTTCTAAATCCTATGAAATCACAGTCTTTTGGAAATAAAACATTACAGCAATATGGAAATGTGCTAAGCTTCAGGGCTCTCCCTGTTTCATAATATATTATACTTGTTATTTTTTCAGTTACTAAGTGATGTCACCAAACACGGTAATGCTTCATAAAGAATGTGAAATGAAAAGTAAACCACAGTTGACTATAAATGTGCAGTAAGGTGTCCATCTTAATGGAGACTCTGGGCTTTACTGTCTTTGTCTGGGCTTCAGTTCATGTACAATTGAGATTCCTTGGTTTGGTTTACTTTCATATACAGAAGACTTCCGGAGTATCTTTGTGTTGTCCTTATTTTACAAACCAGAATTCCCAAACAGGTCCAAGTCAAGCAGACAACCCTGTCACACAGACTCTGGCAGTAGTGGAAGTGCGGCTCATGTCCTGCTCTGTGGGGATCGTCCTCTTTGTTCTGACAGCAGCAGCACCATTTTAATACAAACATAGTTTGTACTTATCCCTCTGTGAAGTCTGTCTCTTAAAAGTGGAACTCAGTCACTAAAAGTGACTCAACAGTATAAAAGCTAGCATTTATAATACCCAGTGTTTACTGTGCACTGCAGTAGACCTAATAAACATACAGAAAGACAGAGAACCAGAGAAGATCCGGCAGCAGAAGGATGAAGAATACCAGATCATAATGATAACAACAAATTGATTCCACATATATAATATTTGTCTTCTATGGCACTTCAAAGTGTGCTTAGGATTGCAAATGATGGCTTTAGTTCATTCTGTCAGTCAATGTTGGACTCTTAAATCACGGCTCTATTCTTCTTCTGGTTTCTTGGAGTTTTTTCAAGCAAAAAGCAATTTGAGTTGTGTATGAGTTGCATTGATTGGACTCAGAGTTCCTTAAGGCACTGAGGAGAAAAGGCTCTTCCCTTGACCAGTCCGTCGTGTCATCGCTGCAGATTATCGTGCTGTTGTCCGAGCGGCAGGATTGGGAGCCTGCAGCTCTGATCTGTCCTTTGTACAGTACATGGTAAGTCACAGTAGTCAGGGGCAATGGAAACGCTTCCAAAACCTACAAACAAACAGAGTTTGAGAACAGAGGTAGTTTGGACTCTGACCAGGTCTTACAGGCTGCTGTCAGCACAATTCAAAAGAATTCACTGGATTCAGATTTTTACAGAGATAATGTTTTGATTTTAGTTTTCTCCTCTCATGTCCCAAAATCAATGCTGGTTTATTCTGGTGATTGCTTTTAGATTTATTTTGAGGCTGCAGGCACTCACAATTCATTGCAAATGTTGCGCAGATTGTGAAGAAAACACAGAAAATAAAACTATCCACAAGGACACAGACAGACCACAATTTACCTAAATTAGACTTGGCTATTGTAATATCAGGTCTAAAATATGCATTCATTGTTGTGGCTTGTTGCACTTGAGCATTGTTGTGCAACATGACAACCATAAATGACTACACAAACAGCCCCTGTACACCTCATGCATAATTGAGCGCTCTCTGTACTTAAGAGGCTTGAATGATTGATGGAGCGCGATGCTTTGGGACCTTAAACACATACCTCTATATCTTTACACTCTCGGTTCCGTAGACGTTGTAGCCTTCTCTATATGTGGCAAAGTTCTGGGTGTTGGTGGGAGGAGTTGGCTTAAAGTTCTGAGCGTTCTTGGCCAATTTGAGCCTTTTGGTTTCTTGCCGTGACTTATAACAGAACTCTATGAGGGCTACCATCATGGCAAGCCCCAGCCCTCCGACCAGAATATAGAAGACCCCAGCCACATTGCTTAGGCTCAGAGCACTTGTCTTGTCCTGGGGGCAAGCGAAGACAATATTTACAGTTTTGCAGTGGAGAGAGGACAACAGACTATGCACATATATTGGCTATCCTTACAACTTAAATATTCTAACCCCATACAATAACTTTTAACTAGTGGTATAGTAAATCAGCATAATTCTAGACTACAATTATGCTCAATTATCTATAAAACATATCTATACTGTGTCTATAGCTTAGGTGAATGTAGATATATGTGCTAGTCTATTTTTAATCCCCATGTCTTGACCATGTTTGGAAGCTGGTCAGTATCGCATAGGTCACCCCCTAAAAAGTCCCTCACTATTTATTTTATCTTAGCGACATGTACGTATAACTCTTACAACATTGTCATACAGTACAGTCAAACCTATGCTAATATAGTGAAAATATGAAATATTCAAAGTCAAAAAAGGTGCGACCATTTTGCTGCTGCTTACCTACCAAACATATTCCTTAAAAATTTGTTCATTAGAGTTTTACTATTTGCACTTTTAACCCTATGAAAGCTGGAGCTAGATTTCATTTGTAGTCATCTCTCAAAGGGTTAAATTTATGGGTTCATTACATTCCTTCCGTTCGAGTAGTGGGAAAATGCAGTTCCGAGCAAATGTTTAAGATTGAGTTTTAAAAATGTTTTGTATTTTGTATGTACTATGTTTTCACTGCATTGTCGCTGTTAAATGGTGACTACAAAATAAATAAAAAAATAAAAAAATATATGATAAATAAGTTAATAACAGAAGAACATAACGTAAATTAAAATGAATACAAATACGAGTATACACATTTTTTATAAATAAGACGAATACAAATAATAAAACACCTAAAATAAAATAAAAACGTAAAAAAATAGCTAAAAAATACTAAAATAAATACATAGATAAATACCTAAACAAAAATGTTGAATTAAATTAAAAACATTAAATATATAATAACATGAACAAGATTAAGAGAGGGTGCTCTTTCTCACAATTGTGTATAATTCATGATACATATTTATATATAATTTATTTGAATAACACTTTAGATTGGATCCTGCCTTTTCGTCACACCACAGGAAGTCGAAAGAATCCAACATACGCTTCCGACTATGCAAACTAGTAACAACGCAAATAAATCAAATTTTCATTAACAGTTTGGTAAATAGGAACAGCAGCATAATGGTTCCAACGAATCATGAATGTCAAAGAGTGAAAATGAGACGAAAAAAAGACCATTTGCTACAACTACAGTGATTCCATTTAAAGTTATCACTAAGGCATGCTAGTCATTTCCCCAAAGCATTAACATTATACTCGCTACTGGGAAAAAAAGTGGCAAAAAAGTTATAATTTTAGGGAAATGGAGCCTTGTATCAAAACCACGTTACACTGGTTGCAGTTGGTGGCGTGTGTAACATAAAAAGAGGGTAAACGAAAAGAAAAAGAACATGTTGGAATTGGAAATAAACAAAAAAATGCAGACTACAGATGTATTTGAAGTCTTGTTTTGCTTATGAATAGTAATGCAAATTTGGAAACAGAAGACCTGCAGCGACTGACCTTACTTCCCGAGTCCTTGGTTCCACATTCACCCTTATCGTACCACCATTTGTTTTTCAGCTTGTCTAAGATGCCTTGTTCACTGAGTTTCAATACTGCAAGGTTTACAGGAGTTCTTCACGTGGGAAATAACATAAATAACATTATATTATGTTATTTTATGTTATTCAACTGTTTAAACTACTAACATACGTAACAAAAGCGATAAAGCAGGGTTCCTGGCTGGTGTCAACATAACAAGAGAGAACAGATAAATTGCTAAAACCCCATGTTTTTACCTGCAAAAGCCCTAGTCTAAAAGCCAGGACCTACCCATATCGCTTTGAGTAATCGGCAGACGCTGTTTGCATGGCGACGTGCAGGCATCGCATCTGCAGGTCTATGGATTTAAAAAAAAAAAACGGTGTATAGGGTTTGAAACAGGATCTATGGGACATTGTTTGAACAGCATTTCACAGTTTAGTCAGAAAATGAGCTTTGTCTTACCTACATCAAATTAGCAACAAAATAATAAAGAATAGATTTAATTCATACATGTGTTATATGTGATTTTATCCTGCATTAAAGACAGATTGATGAATAAGCCCCGCCTAATGTTGCCCTAACTGACTTATTTCTACTTATCTGCCTTGAGTGTTTATAATTATATGTTATTGTGAAACTGTTTATTAGTAATTTATCATAATCTGTATGCTTGTCCTGGAATGTGTGTGTAATTGCAAGCCAAAGTCACATTACTGTCATCACTCTGCATGACAGATGAAAAGTTATTCTCGTCTATTCTAGTCTATCTTGTCCAGGTCCTTCTTCTAAATGGCTGACCACGGCTTGGATTCAAAAATGTCCTTTTCGCTGTCTTACATCTTTAATGTGGAAGCCCCCTCATTGGCTGTCTCGCCGATAGTGGATTTTTACATTTGTTGATATTGCCTATTTAGAACTGTCCAGAGCAGGAGAACATGGCACCGAGTACAGTGACATTGCTGTGTGGCCATGGATCAGTCAAAGTCAATATTTACAAGTTGTATGTTTGAGTTGTACAGTTGTGCTGGACTTGTGTCTGTTCATGTGTTCATGTTTTAGAATATAGCTTCTAACCAAACTTGCCTTTTTAAGAGTCAAGGACATAGTAAACAGCTTGAAAACAAACTTCTGTTATTGCAGAGCTCTGTGTGTTTGGTTAGAAGCACTTTAGACAGGCTGATGCTTACCTGTGCTAATGCTGAAATGGAAGAGCAGATTTGCAGTAAAAGAAAACAGCAGGTCGATAAATGAGTGACCCGGTAGCTCTCAGGGAACAAAAAAGCCCTGAAGGGATCTGAGCGATGCATAATGCTCTTGTTGGAGATTACACCACTGTAGATCCCTCATAGCCAATCCGGAGAACCCAAGTGTGAAGCGCAAACCATTGTCCTGGCTCAGGGAGACATTGATTAACAATGCAATTACCCCGTAACATGCTCTATGTCTGAAACTCAATCTAAAACAGCCCTGTGTTTGTGCCTGGGGCCAGAGAAGGAGTGTGAATGAAAGCGCTGCTGCCCACCTCGCCTTTTTTAGTCTCGCAGATGTAAGCAGGGCAGGATCAAATATGAGCGCTGTAGGCATCTTTCACTCCACATCACCTGAACTGGGACCATCATATAATCTACCAGGGGCCAAAATATGGTGGGGTTAAAACAGAAGGAATTATTAAAAGATGTCGCAACATTTGACAGATGTTCCATGGAGTTGTGTGCTTTCAGAAGCAGCTTAGTAGCCCATGGCAACAGTAGTATTTCTATCATGAAATAAATATCCATCTACATTTATGAAGGGACCAACATTTGAGAAGACACAAGACGCCAATTTTAGTTACTTTTCTATTTATATACCGCAATATATAACAATTCTTTTAAACACACATCGAGTATGTTTACCAAGCTCGCCTTGTCTAAAATAATTTGATTGAACAAGACGCATGTAAATCCGTCAGCTGCGATTGAGGTGTGAAAAACCCATCTGTTTATGTAACCCGGATACTACTGAGACAAGGCCAGCAGATAAAAGCATTGTTTTTTATGTGAAGCAAAAGAGAAACTTCATGGGAATCATGTGCATCATCAGGTGAGTGTGTGTGAAAATCTAATGCCCAAAGTAAACAAAATATTATTAAATATTTGCAGACGTTTTGACCTATATTATATGTATATATAGCCATTATATGTATATATGTAATGGAATTTTATAGTTCAAAGTTTGAGTAATAATGAGTCAACTTTACGAGGCGCCTTTGAAAGCATCCCAAAGCTCCACTCTGCTCTATCGGAGGAAGCCCCTGCATGTAGACTGGGACAACTGTGGTCAGACCGGTTTGGGAAAAGCAACAAATAGAGTCTATATTTTTTACATTTGTTGTAGTTTTCACCATCTTAATAATGGATTTTTTACAGCTCCACTACATAAATGACTTTAAAAGTGAAATGACACCTTGTGCCGGCCAGTGGTCCTTGCAGTTTTCCTCTCCAATTACCTGCTCTAAATCACCACATATAATGACAGTTTCATTTATCATTCTCTGACCCCGTGCTATTAAGACTGTAATACTAGGCCTTATGTGTAATTTAGCAGAAACAGTATAGCCTTTTGGCCTCTAATGGCGCTAAGGTTGCACTTAGTTGCCATGGCTGAGCAGGGCTTTACTCCATTAGCCCCCATTGTAGAGCAATCCTTCATCGTTTGACCACAGAGGAAGGAGACATCTGATGGTCAGAGAGGTCACTGTCGGGTCACTGCTGGTCCGTAATAACATAGCAGAAATGAAGAAGGCGGACAACGCGAGTGGCTTATCAGAAGAGCTGATAAAAACCACACGCTATTAATTAGACGACTCACTACGAACATGATGTCCTCTAGACACACTGCTCCTTCCTCTCCCCTCGCTGACCAGAGGGGAAACCATTCACAGGCATTTGTCCATTAAGCACACTTTATCATATTGGCTTTAGAGCTCTTGGGGTCCAGCCCAGTGTCAAGGATGGGGAGCAGCTGCACAATCAATTACTCCAAAGCCATCTTTTAGAGGATTAGCCAAGTTTACGTTAATAGGACAGAGACGACAGGTTACGGCCTCTCTGGAACAACATATTGAAATTCATGGGGGTATAATAAGTGTGCGCACAAGTACACCGCTGTTTTATTGACACCAGGCAAACCTATGAGTCACAGATGATGTATCCCACATATGGACCAGGCTTATTAAGTGACTACATCTGCAGGGCAACTTACCGGGAATATGCTCAAGGCGAGTTCACAAAATTAAAGGGCAAGAAAAGTAACTGGGTCAAGTTAGATTAGAAGATGCCACTATGATTGCAGTATAGGTATTGATAATTTATATACTATGCACTATTTTTGGTCATTAACAATAATAATAATGATAGTAATGAGTCAATTTTGTCGATTCATGTGTTTTAATGCAAAATAATATCTTCTGGAAAAAATGTATGGTGAAGCAAGCATGTAGGATACAAATGTGTTTTGCCTGTAACTCCCCATGCAGGGGGAGGAGTTGAATTGGTGTCTTTTTTATTTGTTTTAACAATCTCAAACCAACCACAGTGTGATGTCATAGAGGTATAATTTCATAAAACTATTACAGGACTGAGACAGGAGGTGCAGAGTTACAAGTTTATACCAGTTTCTTATTTTAGCGTGGATGGATCTAAGAACAGCTCCAGGTCTATGTAGTAACTGAGAGTAAGGTCAGAGAGTGTTTGGGTCTGTCCCCTGCCTGCGAGGGGTTGGAGCTAAATACACATCTGCTTCGTCCAACCCCTTTTTAAAAATGTATTCCTGTTTATTTTGTTTCCTGTTTTATTTTTTAAAACCGTAAACACAAGTTTGAAACACATATATTTTATTGTAACGCTCTCTTTGACTCGACAAAAGCTCATTGGTTTGATCTCAACTGTGAAATGGCTACATAAACTGTTCAGTAAAGTTATTTGGGTTGTTTGGAGTTTTGGTTCATTTCGGTCATCTGCAACAGCCTCGTCGATTACTCTACACTATAGTACCCGATTGTGGTGACATCGAGGCTGACCTTGGAGTCACCTCCCCCGCTGCCGCACTCTCCCTTGTCGTACCACCATTTGTTTTTCAATTTGTCCAAGAGGCCTTGCTCATTCAGTTTTAAAACTGCCAGGTTAACAGCATTTCTTGAAACGATAAAACATAACTTGTAAGAAAATGCAACAGGTCCTAAGGCAAAGTAAGTACCATAATTAATGCTGATGGTAGAATAGACTACCACTGTCATTCTTAAGGGGCTTAGGCTGGTCATTTGAGAGTCTATAGAGGACAAATTGTTTGAGAATTTCATACGAGATAAGAATACGAGGTAAAGACAGTGTCAAATCTTGGAAAAGGTGGCATAAAGGGTCACGTTTAGAACTGAAGTGTGCGGGATGGGGACACTTGTCATTGAGAAGAAAGTAACAACAACAAACATCATGCAATTAACATTCGTCACAAGTGACAGCGCAGCTTTTAAAGGCTAAATTGAAAAACCATTGAACTGTTAAATTAAAAGTGACAACACAACAGTCAGGTAGGACAGCACACAGGACACAAGGAGAGATCCAAGGAGAGAAAAGAGGAAAAGTAAGACAGAAATATGAAATGCTCTGTTAGCTTTATCCTCATTATGTGGACTGCACGCTCAGTTTAGCCTTTAGCATGTGTTATGTGTACACTATATCATCGATAGAAAACATGTCAAGTCATCCAGGTGCAGTGTGTGGCATACTACCGTTACCTCGATGTCCACAACATAACAAGAGAAGGAAATGACAGGGGACATCAGGGTAGGTGGAATACTATAACAACATGGAGAATATTGTTATATTATTCCACCCACCTTAATGCGGAGCCTTTGGGCGTGGCGATGCCGTAGCCTTTGGAATCCAGGTTCCCGCCCACTTTCATGGTGTCGCACGGCTTCCGCTGCTCGATGTACTCGTTCATGGTGGACTCCAGCAGGAAGGCAAACTTTCCTTTAGACTTTCGCACGCGGGCCACACCGTCCGGAGTGGTCTTTACAAACACTGAGGGCTCAGCGGATTTCATGTAAGACCACATCTTCTCATACACTGCTATTTTGGATCGCTGTTTGAGACAAGAAAACAACACGGCTCTTTAGAAACAAGATCAAATATGCGTTTAACTGTGTCGGATTGTTGTTCGTAAGGATCACCACTTTAAAAACAGCATGTTGAAGTACTCATAGACATCATTGTAAAACGTCTATGTCTATAAATACTCCGAGAACAACATTCAGCAACAGCACTTGACTTTTCTCATCGCATGATCCTTATGAACAATAATCTTGTCATGTTAAATCATACCAGAATATCTTTGTACGACCTTTCTCGTCTAAATATGTGCTTTATGATGATTTAGGGACTCAATTTAGTCCAATCTAGTCTTGGGATGTTATGAAACTTCCAAAGTCATTTCCAGCCATTCCTCAGATTTGTGGAGTTCATAGTGTACACAGGATTTCAGTCGTTAAAACCTTGCTGCACTAATTTAGCGCTAATGAAGAATTGTGTATGAACAGGGCCGGGATAATTCGATTCAATTTCTCACTTAGAGCTTTTTGAGTGCAGTTTATTGTCCTAATAAGATTCAAACTATTAAAACCATTTATTCTCACATCTGTCTTCACTAAACATGATGCAGACCAGGGTTACGAAAAGGTGGAAATCGAAAGCAGCGTGAGACCAAACCCAGTTCAACGACGAATATACATAGCTTAAGATTTACAAAGAAGATTGTAAAATGGGTACAGACTGCTCTTGTTTGACAAATGATTTAGTCCTTTTATTTTTGAGTGTGGTTCTTTTGCTTTTGAAAGACAAGTTAGATGTATTACTTTGTTAACATGATTCGGCAAAAAGGTAGTCATGTATCAACTTGTCTTTCCAAAGAAGCACAAAAAAACATATTAACTCAAGACAAAATCAACCTTTTAGAATATAATTATTTTGTTGTTTGAAGAGATTAAAAAAACATGTCTTGTATATGTTTAATGGGAAAAAGAGACATGTACCTATAGTAAGTAAGTAAGTAAGTTCATATACCGCCTTTCACAGACCAGAGTCTCAAAGCGGTTTACAATTGTTATTTTTGGGATTTTGTCTCTCACTCCACACAGAGATGGGAGCGGGGTCACCAGTACAGGAGGCACATGCCAGAACTATTGTACATGTTTTTAGTGGTAGGGGAAACCGGAGCACCCGGAGGAAACCTACGCAGACACCGGGAGAACATGCAAACTCCACTCAGTAAGGCCCTGGTCCGACCGGGATTCGAACCCAGGACCTTCTTGCTGAGAGTGCTATCCACTCAGCCACCGTGCCGCCCCATAGTGTATGTGTGCACATGTGTAAATTAGCGTTCATATAAAGACAGCTCTCAATGTGATTTTTTTTTTTGTGATACAGTGAAAAGGCATTCATTTTCATGTATTATTATTTCATTTATTTCAGCTTATTTTTAGTACAATGGGGAATATTTATTTAGACAGATTAGCACCTGGTTTTTGTGTTCCTTGCCGATGCAGGAGGGTCTCAGGACAGTGATGATTAGGGTTGCCAACTTGAGAACAAAAAAATAAGGGACACCATTTGGGTGGATCGGTTTGAGCACTTTTTAGTCCTAATTTCAATCTACACAGTAATCATGAATTTCATAATCACAGTTTTTAGAATGTAATTTATTGACTACATATAAAAAAAAACAAATCCTTAGTCAAAAGGGAAATTGAATATTGAGGACTTAATGCATTCTTATTACTAATAAAGAATATAAAAAAGACAAATGCTGTAACATACATTTACATGTACATTTACTTTACAGTAAAGACCATTTACTGTAAAAGCAAATAAATAAGAAAAACATATGTATTAATGAAAAAAAACTCACAAATGTTGAAATCAAAGTCTGTAGCAGTTAGACATGGTCATTATTTATAGAGTCTGAGAGTTTAGTGCGTGTACATGGCTTCAGTAAAAGCTATTTACAAAGCTGGTCTGTACATTTGTTGACGCTCCCTAAGTGCTTTTTTTGGCGCTTGCAGTGCACTGGATTCAATGGATTTCTCTGCATTAAAACAGCGCACTGGATTTGAAAAATCAACGTAGAGATGATCATTTTAGCACAGTGACTTTTTTTTTAACAAAGTAGTTTTTGTGAACTATTGACCGCGGAAGTCAGAATCTGGGAATATGACGCTACTTTACCAAACTTCTGCTGTGATGATGCTGCGGGAGCGGCCCACGCTGGCGCCTGTCAACATTAAACCAATGTACTGTATGTGATCAAGCCTATACCCCTTTGACACTGATTGGCCGAACGGTAGACGCTTAAACTGTGATTAATTTGTGTGTGTGTGTGTGTGTGTGTGTGTGTGTGCGTGTGTGTGTCAAGCGTATACAGTCTATGGTCGCGCGTGTGACATGCAGTGAGTGAGTGATGCATTCAAGGTGGCTCTGAAAATACGGGACAAAAGCTGTCCAGGATCGATTCAATACGGGACGCACATAGTGTTTCTATAATACGGGACAATTCCGTATTTCAAGGGACGGTCGGCAACCCTAGTGATGATCCAGGACATTAGCATTGGTCATCCCACTGTCTATGGACCAATGGCTCCTATCTATTTGTTGATATATGTATATGTATATTTTCTGTGTTCAAACTGTTTGATTCTCTAATCTGTTTTTGGTGAATCGACAACTTTGTAAAGTCCTCTGAGACGACTATTGTTGTGATTTAGGGCTACACAAAAATACTTCGAAATGAATGTAATCTGTAACAGTAAACTCATTTACATCCATTTTCTTCCGCTTCATCCGTTGCCGGGTTCACGTTCACATATAAGTAAACCACCAACATTTCCACCACGGTTTAACACCTGGCTTGCTAAATGTGGCCCTTTGTGTATCAAGATTTTGCAATTTACGCAACAAAAAATAACAAGACAAATTCAAAACAGCCCTAGTTGTTGCGATAGACTGTAATAAACATAGCCAAAGGCAGACAAGCGTGGGGGGTTGTAACCTCAATCACAAAGTGGACAAACTATGATGGCTATTTAAGTTGAAACCATATATGTTTATCTCGGTAAAATGTCAGGGCTAGCGCTAACACGAGAATATTCATCACTGTAAATGATGCGTATGAATAAAGCGGGGACTTAACCTTGACCTGACTGATCTCCTGCAGTAATCATATGGGATTTGTTTGTGCGCTTGTGTCACGGCAAATCAGGCGCCGGAGCCTGATTGGACGAGACAACAACATAACACAAATTAAAAGGCTTTGATGAATGTGCGCTGCGTATAGGAATTGAAGTCGTGACACGAGCCGTTCCGTCCGGCTGCATGTGCACAAATGAGGGGAGCGGTCAGGGTTATAGATTAGCTTTGCTCTTGCTTCTGATAATTCAATGTCTTCAGTTAGAATGTCTGTCAGAGCGGACTAAAGCTGACTTGCAAACGAAACGACTAGAAAAAAAACCCCCTCTATAATTATTATTATTAAAACTAATTATTTTATCATGGGAAGAGCAAGAATACATTGAACCAGACTAAGAGGAAGCCTAAAATATACATGTGCCTGAATGTAAAATATTCCTGAATTTAGGACTACTTTAAATGTCAATATGTCTTTGTGTCTTTTGATTAAACTTACCAGATTAATAAAAAAATATGTGTAAATATGATTTTGTTCAAAATTAATGTATATTTTAAGTACATGGAGTAAAGAGAGTGACGTCTTGTAAAGTCTTCCAGGATAAATACTGTTGTGATTTAGGAATATACAAAAATGAATTTAATTGAGCACAGATCAAGTGGTGGTGAGAGGTGTATGGTCCTAGTGTTTGGGCCTGTGTCTTGTCAGTATGTGTGTGTCTTGTCAGTGTGTGTGTGTGCTTCGTGTTGTGTTGTATGAGTGAGAGGAGCTGGAACCCAATCAGGTCTACTTTGTTCGACCTCTTTTCAAACTGTATATTTAAAATCATATTTTTGTATCCCGTCTATAATATTTATCTTTTTGGAGTACATACGTTCTCAATCAACTTCTAAACTACTACTACTACTACTACTACCAAATATAAATAAATAGTATATTGTACATACTAACCTGTCACATGCTCACGCACCCTAATTGAAGAAATCTCTAACTCCCTATGGTTCTTTTTCAAAACTACTCCCTTTTCCATCTGTCAACGTTGCACATTTGACTGTTTCATTGTTTTTTCACCAAGTAAATCAAATTGAAACATTAAGATAAAAACAATCAAACAAAAAAACAGACAAACCAGCACAAAGTGGAGCCTAAACTGTAAAGGTCAAATGCTTTATCAAGTTTCCCTTTACAATACAAGCTATAGGAACACTTTATCACTTATCTATCAATAAGACAAACCCTCACCAGGGACCAGCCTATATCTATTCATTGACCGCCTTCTGAATGCACAGAGAAACCCAAAGGCAGCACATTGTACAACACTGTGAGCTGACGTTCCTCCCCTGAATGTAATTATTCACACTTCGCTCTATGCCGGTCATTTAAAATTCAATTAGAGTATAATGTCTACAAAAAGTCCATCATCAATGAACAAGACAATTTGTCAAGCAATTATAAACTGCCATAAATACAGCTTTACACACTCTCACATCATAAAGGGGTGGTGAAATTAGTCTATGGACAAAAAAATATTCCCAGACGCATTAGCAAAATATAGTCGACAGCACAATGTAGCTGCTGTTCAACAAAAGAGAAAAGAATATGCAGTCATAAACAGCAGCTCCATCAAATCATGATCAACTAAAAGACGATGTCATCCACACAATAGTGAATCTGTTTATAACATTTAACACCACAACTCCCAGAGCAGTCAATTCGACGGGTTTCAGATTTGGAAGTCTAACCACTAAACCAGTGTGACTGTTTCCGCATTGATATATAACTTGTCTCTATGTCAGTGTTTTTATGAAATCTTCTTTTATTCTTCAAATGTTATGAATAATAACTATCGATTAATGCTAGTTACCATGGCAACACACTGTATAACAGGCAGCATTCTTAGACGTTCA